GACTTCCACTAAAGTCAACTCATTAATGTTGAGCTACTACTTATTCAGCTCATTAATTTGAAATTATTTGAGTTCATTCCCCCCCCCACCCCCCTCTCTCTATTGACCCTTTGTTTCCCCACTTGGCTCCCCTTCCCGTGGCTGGTTCCTTTCCCCCCTTGGCTACCTTTTGTGGTTCCCTGTGAAGCCCATTCCTCCCCATTTGACAGCCTGTTCCGATCCCCTAGCTGCCTATTCTGGTTCCCTTTGGATGCTGTTCTGGTTCCCTTTGACTACCTGTTCCGGTCCTAACTTCCTTTTCAGGTTTTCTGTGTGGTTGTTCGGATTCTATTTCTGGACTGAATAATGGCCCCCTTTGTGACTCTTTGGGGGATGTTCCTGGACATCTCCTTAGCCTTCTATCTTCCCTAGTTTTAATGGTTTATTTGGGGATATTTTAGGTTGTTTGGCTGCCCCTTTTCCCCTATAAATATAAAGTATTTTGTAATAAAAAAGAAGAGATTGTGTGTTGATTTTTGGAGCCAAAACCTGCGGGTTTTTTCATGGAAAAGCTTGAGAGCTTGTTCCATTTCTCTCTTTCTCCCCACTATTTCGTCTTGGGCTTCTAACCTCTTTTTTCTCTCCGCAAGTTCCACTCCACTTGTATCTTTCTTCTTGTGCTATTGGAGGAGTTTGTTGGCTGATTTGGTAGCATTTGTCGAAGGAGTTTTGGTGGACATTGGACCTTATAGTTGTGGTGGACCCTTGATTTGCAAGCCCTTAAGCACTTATTTTATATTGCCTACTTTTCGTTGCATGTGAGGAAACCGCTTGCTAGTTTTTCATAGGATAGTGGTTTTTATTTTTAATTTTGTTTCGTTTTTTTAGCTTTCGTTTGTTTTTGAAGTTTGTTTGGATGTTGGTATTCTTAAGTGTTGAATCGAGTCGTGTTCTATTAGTCATGGTGTTCTCCTATCTTGGTTCTTTATAATCTAGTTTCCTGCATCAAAATTGGTATCAGAGCTAGATGCGTCACATTCATCTCATCAGAAAAATCCTAAAGCATCCTCATCAGGAGATGAGTCCTTTCAACTGGAGGAGAATTTGATGTAGGCAAAGGGGGGGTCAAAATATTTTGGGTTATAATTTTAGTGAGCTTATTTGACCACTACTAAAGCTACTAAAGTCAGCTCATTAATGTTGAGCTACTACTTATTCAGCTCATTAATTTGAAATTATTTGAGTTCATTTCCCCCCCCCCCACCTTCTCTATTGACCATTTGGTTTCCCCACTTGGCCCCCCTTCCTGTGGTTTCTTTCCCCCCTTGGCTGCCTTTTGCGGTTTCTTGTGAAGCTCATTCCTCCCCCTTTGACTGCCTGTTCTGATCCCCTAGATGCCTGTTCCGGTTCCCTTTGGCTGTTGTTCAGGTTCCCTTTGACTGCCTGTTCCGGTCCCCTAGCTGCCTTTTTTGGTTTTCTGTGTGGTTGTTCGGGTTCTATTTCTAGACTGAATGTTGGCCCCCTTTGTGACTCTTTGGGTGTTGTTCCTGGATAGCTCCTTGGCCTTCTATCTTCCCTTGTTTTAATGGTTTATTTGGGGATATTTTGGGTTCTTTGGCTGCCCATTTTCCCTTATAAAAATAAAGTAATTTGTAATAAAAAAGAAGAGACTGTGTGTTGATTTTTGGAGCCAAAACCTGCAGGTTTTCTTCGTAGAAAAGCTTGCGAGTTTGTTCCATTCCTCTTTTCTTCTAGGAAGCTTGCGAACTTGTCCTCTCCTTCGTCTCGGCTTCTTACCTCTCTTTTCTCTCTGCAAGTTCGACGCAAATTGTATCTTTCTTCTCAATCCAAGAAAAGCAAGTGTAGGTGTTTATTTTTATGTCATAAGTTTGTAAGAGCCATCTTTATCATATAAAAGTTGTATTTTATTTAAATGTTGTATTTTGTATATTTTTTAATATTTTGTGTATTTTCTTATGTTTATGGGAAATCTTTTCTTTTGCTTGCAAAAAATTGGGGTCTTCCTAATTTTTTTCTTGCATCATATTGGGAGTCCCATCATAACACATCATTTAGATTATTGACTAGTATTTGATTTAGAAATTATCTTATTAAAAATTTGAGATATATTGCTCTTATTTTGAGTTAACAATAAGGGTATGACTAACAGTCCGAGCTTTCAGCATGTGCACATGTAGGCCTTACCATAGTTTAAAATTGTGAAATTAGAGGCGCGCCTTTGCGCAATTCAGCCCTCAAGCGCCTCAAAGCCCACGCAATTCTGGCTCCAGATGAGGCGTACGCCTCAAGAGTTAAGAGGCGGGCCTCTAAGGCGCTATTGCGCAATATCATGTGAGGCACACACCTCACGGGTTAAGAGGTTCACGCCTCTAAGGGATTGTTTGGTTTGCAAGCAGCAAAATCAACTATTGTCAAACGGTATATACTTCTTTTTGTAAATACAAAACACTTTAATATGTTCTGATTATCATTTTTCTTCTTGAAAATAGTTGAATGGTGGATCCAATTTGATGATTCCACCCCTGAGTTACAGAGTTTTGTTGTTAGAGTTTTGGGTCTCACTTGTTCTTCTTCTAGGTGTGAGCGAAACTGGAGTACATATAGTCAAGTGCAAACAAAAAGAAGAAATCGGCTTTCAACACTCAAAATGAACTCTCTTGTGTATATTATGCACAATAAGAGGTTGAGAGATAGAAGGTTGGTTGAGGAATAAAGGGTTGAAGGATGATGAGGACCCGTTAGTATGTGATGATGTGGAATCTGATAATGAGTGGTTCATAGATGATGAGACAAATTTGTCATTATCAGACCAGCAACTAGAAGATCTAAGTGTGGATGTCTTGAGGGGCGAAACAGATCAAGTGGGCACATCCACTAGTACCACACTACACGCATCCACTAGTTCTGTAGCATAACAATCAAATAAAAGTATTCCACAACTTTTTATATGCTATTGCATTATATTTATATTAAGTGAGCAATTAACATGATAATGATCATTCTTATTGAACATGAAAGAGAAAAGTGAGTCACATTGAAGATGATGAAAATATGACATTCATAAATACAATTGGAGAAGAAAATTCCCTTGAAGACCCATTTAGTGATGGGATATGATTGAATTTTATATGTTCTTTCTTAATTGTACTTTGGGAATTTTGATAGACTAATATTTTATGATTTTGTACTTTGAGACATGATTTTATTGCATCTACTTTCTTATTTTCCACTATTTTCATATATCATTTAGATGTTTTTATTGTAAGATAGACTATTGCTATTATTTTCCTGCTAAAACCCTTAATTTTTCATTTACACAATTCTATGTCCGTGAGGCTTACGCCTCAGACCACCTCGAGGCTTAATT